TCCTGATCAAGACATAACTTCTCGGACTGAAGAGTTTTATCAAAGTTAGCACTACTCCTCCCAAGAGCTTCGTCCTCCTCAATTATGTTTCCTAACAAAAAAAAAAAAAAAAAATAATTCCTATTATGCTTCTTAAAAAAACTAAATAATGTAACTCAGGTTTTCCCTGAGATAATTTTATTGAAACACTGCAACACAGAATAATCATAGATTTTTTGAACTGGAAAGACTGAAAGCTTGAAAGTTGAACCAGTATTACCATACACTTTTTAAAGAGATATCCAACATAATACTGCCACCACCGAAAAAGTAATTCATACTACATTTTTTTTAAAGTTAAAGTGTTTTACTTGCAAATGCATAATTTTATATCAAAGTAAACCATTTATACAGTGTACTTTTACTGAAAAATCTTACCTAACCTTGCTAAGATTTAGACCCGATTTAAGCATATGATGGCTGACTCACTGTTGTCTTTCACCCAATATTTGACGTGGCATTTAGTCAAAGACTACATTCTGAACTAGATCTATTTAACTCGAAGCACCAGAAATTCTCCTTTTTGATTTAGAGATAAGTCTGTGTGGTTTTGGTACAGTGCCCTTCCTAGGAAGCGATGAATGAGAGCATCTGAATGCAGCCCAGCCAAGAGGAAGGCAGTCGGCAGCTCCATACTGAGAAGGGTGGCTCGCTGTGCTCACCTGCTGAAAAAAAAAATGCTACCTTCCGCTCTGAAGGCCTAAGAAAGCGGGGTGCTGAATTGGGAAGAGGAAGTAACACAGGACACCCTTAACAGAGAGGAACAAGTGCAGGAAATGATGGAGTGTTTGGGGGACTGCAGGAGAAAGGCATGGATAAAGGAAGGGCAGCAGGTAAGATACAGGAGAGCCTAAGAGGTAAAATAGTAAGGTGACTGCTATGGTCTAGTCTAAACTGTTAGCAGCCCATGTACTCATGCGAAATATGCACTGCTGTTTTTCAAATGCATGTACAAAACATGTATACATGCATTTCTGGAAATGAAGACCACTATAAAATGCCCTAATAGTCTATAAACTGCTACTTCAACTTGAGATAAAGATTACATTCCTCAACTTTTTAAGCATGTTTTATATGAGAATTTTAAGTCACTTCAAGACCAGAAACCAGCAAAAAATGAACAGAATGAGGGTGTGGGGGATGCGAGAAGCTGTAATCAAGTTGAAGAAAAGAATCTCTTTAAAGCCTTAATGTCCAACACTTTAATAACTTCTTTACCTGTTACTGTCCCACTTGCTGTATTCTCTGATAGAACTGAGTTTTGAGATGGTTTTTCTTCCCTTTCTGAATATCTTAATTCAAGTAAAGCAGAATAATTCTCATCGGCAACAGGCCATGCGCTCTCAGATGATGCGCTGAATGGAGCATCTTGCTCATTATTTCCGATCCCTTCTTGATTGCCTAGTCCTTCACCGGGTAATTCCAACTGTGCTAAACTTGGTTGCTCCTGTTCCTTCAGAGCTAAATGCTCCAGAGGAGACTGCTGCTCACAGCCCCCCTCTGACTGTACGGTGCCTGTAGCGTCTGAAAGCAGAGGCTTCTCTGCTGGGTCCCCGTTCATGGCCTCTCCGACTGCTCTTTCCAAGGATGCATAGGGCTGCTCTGCACCTGACCTTTCCGTTGGAACGACTTCAAAGCAACGACCCGACCTATCTTCCATTTCCTAAAGTATCAGTTGCATGTTTCTAACATTTCTGCAAGAATAATCACAGGATATATTTAAAATCGCATACTAGCACATTGCTATGACCAAACATACGAGTGACTTAACATCCCGAAAAGCTCATTTAGCCTATTTGGAAGAGCACGCGGTCTTTGAGTCCACCAGACGCAGAACACTTCACATCGTCTCGCTGGTGTCTAACAAACGTAACGCTCCATAGCGCTGCCAGCAAGCAGCCGGCGTAATCCTGTCTTTACATATGACACACGGTTTCACAGAACGGTATGACCAGAGACCGCACACCCGGTAACGTGCTGACGTGACGTGGGCCGGGAGGATCCCAACCCTATAACCAGGGAGGAAAGCCAACGGCAAACCGGGAGCGGCTGCCGGCCGGAGCCAGGCGCACGGGTCGCTCC